TAAAGTCCGCTGATCTCGGCCTTCGTACCCTCCGCTGTGGAACCCAGCGGGTGTCAGAGCTGAGGGTGTAGACGTCGCCCGGGAGCCATTGCTCTGGTGATGGGGAGTCGGGAGGGGAAACGCACACTCACTGCGACACTGAAATCTGTAACCCATCTTTCTTTTATAGCTAAACCACTGAAACTGGAAATCAACATGTAAAACAAAAGCATAAAATAATCTTCATTTATTGTCATTTTTGGAATGGTAATACCTTATTAGCCATAAAAAGAGGCACAATGGGCTGGCCGAGTGGCACGATGGTTAAGAGCTGGCTTGGGACGCCAGAGGGCCCCGGTTCGGATCCCACATATGAGGGCCAGTGACACTGCCCTCCACAGCTAAGATGCTGAACAGCAGCTCAACCTGGAGCTGGGCTGCCGTGAGTCGCTGGTGACAGCGTAGGCTGCAGCCCCTGTGGCAGTGGGTTGCCATGGGCTACCATGTGTAGCCAGCAGCCAGCGTGAGCGGCCAGCAGCTGCTGTGAGCGGCCGTCCAGAAGCCGGCGACTGATCTGCCTCACCCAGGAACAGCGCAATGATGGTGCCAACTTGGGCCAGTGAAGCAACGTCCTCCACAACTAGACTGAAGAACAGAAGCACAGCAATTTGTCTGTTCCCCTTCCCCCAATTCCACAGCGCTGTTCCCATCCCCTAATTCCACTTTAAAAAAAAAAAAAAAGAAAGCACATTTCCCCCCTGCAAGAACCGCAGTGACTGAAAACTTCCAGTTGTATTATTGTTTAGTTCACCCAGCTTTTCACTGAGTGAATCCTGTGTTCTGACATGCGATTTGGGAAGCGTGTGGTGTAGAGGGGACCCGTTGGGGGAGCTCTGTCAATTCCAGCAGGTCCATCGTTGAGACCAAAAGAATAAATGAAAATCTTGCATCATAGTCATGTATTAACGTGATCTTGGACATTTTCTTTTAACTTCCTGTGTTACTGTGTTTAGAGTTTAACTTGTTTAAAGCAAACGCGTTTAATTTGTTTTTCCTGTCCTGATCATCAGAAATTTTCTAGTTGGATATTATAAGCCTGTCTTTCCGGGGCATCTTGACCTTATTAGAGAGATGAGGGAACAAATACAAACAGTGAGGATTCAGGAAGCGCGTTCTGCTCCTCTTTGCTTTCCTCGAGTTCGGGAGAACAGCCTGTGCAGACCCGATGCTGGCCCTGCATCCAACACCTGACTTGGACGGCGTGTCGCGGAATGCCCGTGTGTCACGGCTCTTCTCTGTGCTCATGGCTTTGTGTTTTACTTACTTTAATAGGGCAGTCAGATAATCTTCTGAGACTCTCAAGTTGAAATAATTCTCCAGTGATAAAACCCAAGGAAGTCGAGGAAGAGGGAGGTTTTTATTTTATGGATATATAGTATAAGAACATTTATTTGAAAATTAGGAGATATGTGAAATTTTTGTAGTGAAAAGTAGAAACCTATAGCTAGGATGTGAATGTTAACACTGTGCGGTTCTTTTGACATCAAAAACAATTTTAAGTGATGCTATTTCAGGCAATTATAGATACTTGGAAATCAATCATATTTAAGAAACACTTTTTTATTATTTCAAGGTGTTCCTTTGATTGTCAGGCACTTGCCAGATGGATAGCCTCAGAGAGGTTATTTCTAGCATGGATTTTGCCCTTCGCCTCAAGAGCAGTAGATTCACCCTCCACTTGGATGGATGTCACTGGGTTCCTTGTTGATCATGTCCCAAACTAACATTCTCCTTCAGCCCATCTCCGTCTTCCCCAGGCCAAAAACTTGCATGTTCCCTTTGACTCCACGTCCAGTCCATGTGGACGCGTGGTCGGCTCTAATCAGGAGTGTATATTTAGAATTTGATCAGGTGTCTCGTCTACTGCCAGCCCTTGGTCCGAGCCACTGTCATCTTTGCCTGGACTATTGCAAGAGCGTCAATGCACCCCTCTTCTTTCTCTCCCCTGCCCCCCCACCCCCCCTATTCCATTCTAAACAGAACAACTAGAGGAGCCTGTTGAAATGTGAGTCTGATATGTCTGCGATGCTGTCCACTCCCTCAGAGTACAAGCCCAGGCTGTCGTCGCCCATGAGGGTGGTGGCCTGATGGACTCCCTCTGCCCTTGGCCTCACTGCACCTCATGTCTGAGGACAGGCCCCCAGGCGCGCACCCCAGGCCTCCGTGGCCGCCTTTCTGGGCGGTGCTCCTTCATGTGCCCAGCTCCCCAACCCTCTTACTCACAGATCACACTCCTGAGCTGCCCAAATGGAAAGTTTCCATCCCCTGCTGACATTTCAGATCTTGCTTTTCGATTTCTTCTTCCTGCCCTTTACCACTATTTAAAATGCTCTCTGTTTTAGTTTTTGTTCTTGTTGTCCGTTTCCCTCTCTAGGTTTTACATTTTCTGAGGCGGGGAGTTTCGTTTGTTTGCTCACCTGTGCGCCACAGCTGCCTAGAACTGTTGTTACATGGAGAAGGTCCTACTAAGTGCATGAATTAACGTGCGCACGCGTGACTGGCGGTACCCATGCAGGAGTGGGTGGGCTTAGTTCTGCTTCATCCTGTCGAGAGGCTGCATGTCATGGACTGAAAGTGCCACGAAGGGACAGCTTTGTCTGACTTGACCTGGCACCTGCGGAACCTATGGCTGGCACGTAGTAGATGCTCAGTGCACGTGTGCACAGCAAATGACGGCACAGAGGCATGAGTATTCGCGGGCTCCATCAAGGCACTGCGGATACACAGCTTTTCAGATCTGGGATTATTTTTATTTATGTCTGGCGGTAGCTAGATTACAAATTTTCCTAAACAGTTATTATGTTAGAAATATGAAAACGGTACTGTGATGATGGCAGTGAAGGGGAGGCTGCATTCTGTAATCACAAATTGCTGGCAGTGTTATGTCTGTGTAGGTGGGAAGTTTATCTCGTCAGTCCTGCGTGGCTTATAGTCTTTCCCTGAGGTAACTGAGACTTTTACACTACTTGTGCTTTAGTTAGACCAAATTTAAAGAATTTATACTTTGAATCTGATTTTGGTTGAATACATAGTTTGCATTTGACTATAACTCTGTGTGTTTTAGTATTATACATTTTTCCCATAATAAAAATTGTAATCCCTCTAAATATTTAGTATTCTATTTAGCAGATAATGTAAGCATGTTATAGGTAGAAGCTTTCCCTTCCTGTGTTCTTTTGTTTGTTCCCCTGAACAGTGTAATATTTTTGTTTCAATTCTGAAAACTTAAACATTTTAATTAATAAAAGTTTTTCTTTTACAAACTGCACTGTGGTTTCTAAGCTCAGGTCTCTTAAGCTGCACTTGGTCATGTAAATAAGCTGTGCTTCGCAACTTTGGGCGCTTGACCTTGGCTCTTGGCTGTTAGCTTTATGTTTTTTTAATTATAGGAAAATAGAGGACAGTAGGGAAGTTACGACTTAAATGGACTCTTGTTATTACTGTATTCTCTTTTATGGAAATGAAAAATGTTATTTATTTTGTCCAAATCAAGCAGAAACTAATATAGAATATCTTGAACTGTTAATTTTGCTGAGCATTTAATATCATCACAGTTTGGTTGTTTATATGTAGTAATTATTTCTCTGTTTTAATGATGGATGGTGTGATCAGTTATTGATAGTTGTAAAGCATGCATTGTCCACAGTTGTTACCTAATAGATAAAAAAGAAAGTGTTCTTTTTGGTACATACAAATGCATTATTTGAATCATGAAGTCATAGTCATTTAAAAAATACAAATATGTTTTCTTAGCCTTAAAACTGAGATTCTGTATAATGTATGAAAATAGCCAAAAGAGACTGTACATATAAGAAAAGGAGTGTTCACAGTTTCAGGAATTGGTTCAGTTGGGGTCTTGACGCGCCTCTTCCGTAGGCCAGGGCTTTACAGCCTGATGCTGCTCGTTTGTGCAGACATGTCCAGATGAATTCAGTGTGTAACGTTAAGAATCATATAACATGCCAATTTGATTTGTAGCCCTTCATATCATAGAATGCTAATTAAAATCATATTTTTGCATATGTCATGCCTTTCATGTACATATGCAAATGGACTATTGCCTTTCAGCTATTAGTAATTAACTTTATGAAGGACAGCTGTAATACATAATTAACAAAAATGTTTGCAAGCCCTTTTATACTGAAAGTTACAACAGTAAAAATTATTTTTTCTTATCAAGAGAGCCATTGGAGCCTGATGCTTCTGAGTGAGATCTAAATTGTTTTAAATAATCACACAACGTAATTCAGTTGATGTTGCACTGTACTCAGTAGAAGGATGGAGCTCCATGGGCGGGCTGCAGGTTCCTGTCCGTTTCATATTTATGTCAACAAAATTGAATTAAGTAAGCTGATTGGTGTATAAAATAAGATAGCATGTCAGCTAATACTTTTTGTTTGTTGTAGCTATTGATATCTTCTTGGCACTTCAGTGCTTTTTTTTTTTTTGCATATGCAGCAGACAGAGTAAACGTGTATATAATTTTTAAAAACATCTCTTCAAATTATTACCATGTATTTAGGGAAACTTCGTCAAGGCTATTCATTCTGTCTTTTATAGTCTATTAAATATTTAATAAAATGACAGTTTCTGTAGTTGTTTCATGATTGAAGTGTGTGATGAACTAATGGGCAGTGAATGTTATACTGAAGTATTGCTGTATCTTTCTTACTAACTGGCAGTGAGGGCAGTGGCTGAAGAAGTAAAATCATTTTGGTCAGATTTGTACCCTCAAATAAGAAGATGAAACTCATCAGTTTAAATACAGTTACTTCCCTGGGTTTTCAAGTATTACAGTGTATTTTGTTTGTCTGCAAGCTTTTTGTTTAGCAAGAGTGCCTTTTGTAATGTGCATTTTCACGTTACATCCATATATAAATACCGACTTTAAAATACTTTTTGTACTTAATTCTAGCAGAGTCAAGTTTTGGTTCTATAATTACTGTTATTTCTTTTTTTAGGGTTGCTTTTGTAATGAAGAAGCACCTAAATACTCACCTACTAGGCAAACATGGAGTTGGCACCCCAAAAGAAAGGTAATTTTCATTCTTTTTTTTATTTTACCAATATAATTGTATTTTCATTTTGGGATTTTCTTAATAAGGTGACCTCTAGAATTTTGATCAAGTCGGTTCACATGTTCTGCATTTGTTGATGCCATTCTCCATTTACTGTCATATTTTAATGTTAGAAAAACCCAGTGTAAAATACTTGAAAGGATTTGAGGGACTTTGAATTTGTGCGTTTGTAAGACAACCTTGAAACAGTAGAAGAGTTAAATTGGAGGGGATTGACCACTGCAAGTGCATTAGCATGAGCTAAAATAAATGTGTAAATCTTAATCTTGTCTATTTTTCCCTATGTTTTTATTGTGAGGTTTTAAAATAACATCTTAAAATTATTACGGTAGAATTAAAAATGGCTGATGTTAAGAAAGAAATACATCTTGTGTCATCCCCAAAATAATACTACAGTTGCCATGTCATGAAAAATAACACTACAATTATTATGTCGTCAACTGCCAGGTTTTCTTTTTCGTTGCTACTGTATCATAATTAGCCTCATCACATAGACTTAATTTTATCAGGTGAACTGAAATATAATAATGTCAGATACCAGGTGAGCTTGGCTACTTTTTTAAAATGTGCAACTCACTCAGACCTAGTACAGGCACTCTCCCTTTCCTTCAAAGACTTGGTAGATTTTCGACTTTCGCTAAATCCTCCAAGATGGTACCTGAAATTCTAGACACTCCTGGAAACTTGTTTCTTTAATACTATTTTAAAATGTCGGTAATGATGCAATTTATTCTACCATTCCATAACCTAGGTCCTCTTCTGCTATAGTTTTAAATGTTTAATTGTCTTTTAAAAAGTTTAAAATGACCTTATAGTATTTTCTATGTTTACAAGGAATTTAACTTGACTTTTCTATTGGAGGCATATTGTTTTCTGTAGCATTTTCGTTTGAACATGACTACTTTGTCAAAATTTGGGATGTAACATATGCCTACTTTTTACCTTTGGTTTCTTATACTTTGTAACATTCTTTTGGATTGTTGGAAAAGTCATGACGTGTTTTTCTATGTTTTTCAATGTAAAAATTCGTCGTGACTTTCCTGACGACCCAATATTTAATTTGAGCCAAAATGTATGTGTTGAACACATCCTGACTGCATTATTCTTGAAATTCAAAGAATTCTATGTTACTTAAATTGTAATTTGGGACTTATTATGTTTCATTAGTTCAAACATATGTTTCATAAATATTTAAGAAAGCGGAAACAAAGCATATTTAATTTCGATGTTCTCGTTTTCACATGTATTATCTCAATCCTTCTGTGACTTTATTAGCAGTGTATTATTATTCCAGTTTTATAGATCTAAGGACTGGGATTCAGGAATATACAACAATGTATTCAATATCTCACAATTAATAATTGTTAGAATTGTTATTTTTCTGACTCTAATTCCTGTGGTCTTCCTCATGCTAATTACATTATCTCACATTGAGAATCTTTACATGTAGGTACTTAGGGTGTTTTAGTCACAAAACACATTTGAATGAAAACAGTCTAGATCAGATAATTAGTAAAAAGAAAATAGTTCTCTACTGTATAACTAGTATACCTTTTATGAATGCAAATGTATCAGTTTGCTTTTATTTAGGAATTTAAAAAATTAATTAAAAATTTGAGTACATGTCCATATTGTTTCATATTAATGAAAGATTCATCACATCATATATATATCATTTATCCTTTAATCACCTTAAAAATAGTAGCTACTTCCTATGTATTTGCATAGGAGTTTGAAAATCCCAGATGTGCTGTTGGTTTTTCTGTTTCCCTTTTCCTGTGCATTCCAGAAATACACACTCTTTCACTTTAACTTATTGCAGCCCCTAATACATAAAAGGAATCTAGAAAGAGGCAAGAGAAAGATTGCCTGTCTTCCTCCCCTTTGAGATATGGTGAGCTTTTTCTCCATCACTGATACGATTTTTGTCCTAAAATTAGGAAATGAATGTCAAATGGGAAAGTACACCCCATCTTCTATTTATTACCTGCTAAGTAGTGCAGGTTCAGCTAAACGTAACATCTTTGATTGAATTGTGTTTCCTAATAAAATCTCCATGTTTCGGGATACTTCTTGTTTATGCTGTCTGTTTATAGGACATTCCCTCTTCCTCTATGGAAACACAGAGCTGGAATGCCCAACTTCAAGCAGCGTAGATTCCAGCAGACGGGAACACTAAGATTTAAGTACCAAAACCTAGCGTAGGAAACGCCGGAAGCTCCCGTTCTTCCATTCAGCCTCCCTCCATTCCTCGGAGAGGGAATTGAGGCCTTTTAATGGTTTTAGGAAACAAAGAAACTCTTTATCAGCATGTTGAACCGTCACTTTGGGCATAACTGTTCTCTAAATTCAGTTAGCCATTTTTTTCTTACCTATTTAAAACGTTAATGTCGTGGCTATAATTTTGCAAGCTTGCTATATTTTAATTTCTTCGGGACAGTGTAATCAGTTTATTTTTTTATGTTTTGAATTTGATTCTTGCCTCTTATGCATTGCATATTATAGCAAATAGTAATAGAAGTTAGCTAAATAGACTGTGACAATTAAATTAATAATGCATTTTGTTTGCAAGTATTTAGACCTTGTGCTTTCACTGATATATGCAAAAATGATAATTTATTACATATAAATTCACATACTTACACTATAGTGTGATGAACCAATAAATTTTGTCAGCATGATTGTCATTAGCAACAGAAAACTAAATAATTTCAGATATTTTTTTGACTCCACCAACACCTGAAGTGATGGCTTGTATAAGAACATATTTTTTTTTTGTCCCTAAATTTGCATGCACTTATTTCAAGGTAGTACACTGCTGTATTTCTGAAATCTTGTACACTCAAATATAAACAACTAAATAGCTACATTCAATTCACTTTCCAGAATAATAAACTCCAATTAATTTGCAAGTTCATTCTGGAGTATTCCCTATTTTAACTAAATAATTCTCTTTGTAATATCGTAAGCAAAGCATCTTTATGACTTTAAATTCGCTGGTGGTGATCTAGACAATGAGCTTCTCCACAGCTATCACAACTGAAACAGCCGTAATAAGCGTATCTGTGTGAAAGCCAGGTGCGCATTCGGATGGAGAGCGATGGTGTTCTTAGTTCAGTGCCTGGAAATCAGATGCGCTTTGAGTGACTGTGAATGGGGGTTGCGGGGAAAAGACTCAATGGGAACTTCCGATCTGATACGTTGCTCTGTGGTGCCCGGACACTGCCAGGAGCTGCCAGCACTGGCAGCAGCTCAGGAGGGAGGCTGGTAATGCCCCCAAACCACTGTTACCAATAACGGACTTGACACTGGATATGAGCACCAGAGAGTCTCAGAGTTAAACAGTTTCACAGTCAAAAGGAATGGGTCTGCTTCTTCCAGTTACTGGTGACTGTCCAGAGCGAAGCCTTGGTATTGTTTTCAGTGAAGCAGTTGCCTGGGGACTCTGTGAGGGTTACAGATCTCTGACCGTTTAGCTGTGGGGTGTGTTGGGGCTTCTGGGGGTGGGCTCAGGGCGGGTCCGTTTTTATTCCAGCCATTGGTTTCCCCCAGGCCTTCTTCAAGTGCCTGAGTCCTGACATTTGTGCTGGCTCCTCCCCCTTTCTTAGACATTTGGGACTTTTGGTTAGTCACCTTTCTTTATCAGCACCTTCAATCTTACCAAGAAGTAAAATCTTTCCCCTCAGTCTTTATACATGCTAAATATCACTTAGCCTAATTGTGGGATAGAAATACTGACAGCTGTCATACTGGCTCTGATTTGTTGTAGGCCATCAATATATGACACGACACTGTGAGTTGTTTGCCATCTGTCTCGTCTCCTTTTATTTCTCACCTTTCCCCAAAACTTTTATATTTATATGTAAAATTGTATGGAAGTATCATTGTTTTCTCTTTTTCAGTTTAGATGTAAGCCTCACCTTTTTTCTTAAAACATGAAAGTGTCACCCGAAACCCAACATTCTTAGGAAAAGCATGTATACATGCACACACGCAGTTCTGTTAGCTCTGTTAGCCATACTTTGGGTCGATTAGAAAGTTAGGCTACTTTTCAAGAGAGAATAATACATTGTATAAAAACTCTAAATTCAAAAGAGGTTCTATTGTAGTAATGAGATTAACTCCTGTTGTTACTTTACTATCCATTTTCAAGAAATGATTTGCTTTTGGCTAAGTTGTTACTGCTGCGTGTATTTTATTAAAGGATCAATAGTTTTCCTCAGTGTTTTATTCTGGGTGGATTCCTGTAAGGTACATACTGTCCTCTGAGCATTGAAATGGGTATCTAGTTCTCATCGATGCGCTGAGCTGTGTTATCCGTGTTGTCTGTCCTTCATATCATCTCTCTCGAGTGTTCTTTACAAAACGCATCAGCCGCTTCCTGCCCTGTGGCTTTGGGCTTGTGCTCCTGGTCACCCGCTGCTTAACGGTCTTCCCCTCGTCAAATGGGTGGCAGTCTTTTTTCTTTTCCGTGAGGGCCAAATTAGGAAAAATAAAGTATTTATGGGTTCCTCTCTGCTTTAAAAAGTATGTACACCAGCAGTAACTCTGTTGAGCCCAAACGGAGGAAAAACGTATCAGTTCTTTCTCTCTCGGATTGTTTATTTTACTGAGTGGGGAGATGGTTATATTTGAATGGCTTAATATTGCTATCGCATGAGCTGAGGACTCCCTTTCTTCTTCTTCTCCCGTTCCTCCATCTGTGGACAGTATGCGGTATACAAATACTATGCTATGACCATTTGACATGGTTTTATTGTGAAAAAGTGGGATTGAGTAAGCAGCCTGCTGAATTATTATTTTTACATGGAAAGATAGATAGAAGTCACATCAGTTCATCTAAAGCAAGGGGTATTATTTTTAGAAAATTTCCCTTTGTATTTTCCTGACTTAAACTGACAATTTATTAAGGTACATAAGGAGATCAGTATTTATTTTCCATCAGAGTTATCTTGTCA